TATACATATGTATATATATATGTGTATATGTATATGTATATATGTATACATATGTATATATATATATATACATATGTATATATATATATACATATGTATATATATATGTGTATATGTATATGTATATTTGTTTGTGTTCAGTCTGAGCTGCATTAATGCCGGGAAGTTGTCTCGAGGAGATCTGAAACACTGCTTCATCCCCTGCACCCCCAAAGGCTGCATGGAGCTCATCAGACAGACAGGTGAATCCGTTTAACCCTTTCAGCTGAAACATGAAACACATACTTACATCTCAGTGGACCAATCAGAGCAAAGCCTCATCTCAGTGGACCAATCAGAGCAAAGCCTCTTACCTGTGACTTCCTGTTTCCCATACAGGTGTGTTTGTGGGGGGGAAACACGCGGTGGTGGTCGGTCGCAGTAAGATCGTCGGCGCCCCGATGCACGACCTCCTGCTGTGGAACCACGCCACAGTGACCACCTGTCACTCAAAGACCCCAGACCTCCCCGAACAGGTGACTCACCTGGACACGGAGAACCAGGACCAGTGGTGTCATCTCTACGGGTGTTTGAGATGTTTGTGATTTCATAGTTCCATGTGTGTGAGATGATGCATTTCCCGTGTGACTGGCAGGTGAGCCGGGCCGACATCCTGGTGGTGGGGGTGGGCCAAGCAGAGATGGTGAGAGGGGATTGGCTTAAGGAAGGGGGCGTGGTCATCGACTGTGGGATCAACCACATAGCAGGTACTCACTGCATCTTGTACTACTTCATACTACATACTTCTAAATCTGATTTCAAAGAGTAAACTATGGTTGTCCTGTGTGGACTGAATTTTATTTTGAAAGGACACCAATGACGTCATTCTAAAGTGACTCCAGAGTTTGGAGAACGTGTTGACTTCTGAGTGGTTCTCTCAAACAGATGAGACGAAGCCGAGCAATAAACGGGTCGTCGGGGATGTCCACTATGCCTCGGCCAATCAGAGAGCAGGATTCATCACACCTGTTCCAGGAGGGGTGGGTCCTATGACAGTGGCCATGCTCATGGAGGTAATGAGGTTTAAGTTTTTTTCATTGTTTGAGTTTAAGTCTTTCTGATAAGGATAAGGATGTTTATTGTCATCGTACGAACATACAACGAAATTGAGTTGGCGACTCATCAGTACAGCAGCAACAGTTAAAAAGTGTATAAAAACATTAAGACAAGACGATTTAAAAACAAGACATTAAATAAATATATACAAGATAAAACAAGATAAAGCACAGGCATCAATGGCTTCAAAGTGAAAAATGTGCTTGGTTACAGTGTCGTGTTATTGACTGTTTGTTTCAGCACTGTCCGGTGTGAGCTGGGTGGGGTGGTGGGTGGCGGTGGGGGGGTGATGGAGGAAACCGCTCTGGGGAAGAAGCTGTTCCTCAGCCTGTTAGTCCGGGTTTTGATGGTCCTGTATCTCCTTCCTGGTGGTAGTGGAACAAACAGAGAGTGACCCGGGTGTGTGGTGTCTGTGCAGATGTTTCTGGCCTTCTTCTGGAGGCGGCCAGCGTACACAGTGTCCAGGTCAGGCAGGGTTACTCCCACAATCCTCTGTGCTGTTCTAACCACACGGGCCATGTCCCTCCTGTTCTCTGCTGTGCAGCTGGCATACCACACAGTAAAGCACATACACAGGATGCTTTCGATCACGCTTCTGTAGAAGTTAACCAGAAGTGCAGGGGGCAGGCCAGCTTGTTTGAGCTTCCTCAGAAAGAAGAGCCTCTGCTGGGCTTTCTGCACCAGGTGGGATGTGTTCAGGGACCAAGTGAGGTCTTTAGTGATGTGGAGCCCCAGGAATTTGATGATGTCCACCCTCTCCACCTCCTCCCCACTTATGTAGAGTGGAGAGGGTATGGTCTTCCTGGATCTCCCGAAGTCCACCACGACTTCTTTGGTCTTGGTGGTGTTCAGGACCAGGTTGTTGTCCGAGCACCACTCAGCCAGATGTTGGACCTCCTGTCTGTAGTGTGTGTTGTTGTTGTTGTTGTTGGAGATGAGTCCCACCACAGTGGTGTCGTCAGCAAACTTCACTATTGTGTTGGAGGAATATGTGGCGGAGCAGTCCTGGGTGAAGAGGGTGAAGAGGGCCGGGCTGAGCACACAGCCCTGCGGTGCACCAGTGTTCAGGATGGTGGTTGTTGATGTCAGGTTCCCTATCCTGACATTCTGTGGTCTGTTTGAGAGAAAGTCCAGAATCCATGAACAGAGTGATGTAGAAAGTCCAAGGTTTTTGAGTTGATGCACCAGTTTATGGGGGGATGATGGTGTTGAAGGCAGAGCTGAAGTCAATGAAGAGCATCCTGACGTATGTGTTAGGGTGCTTCAGGTGAGACAGGGCCGTATGAAGAGTGATGGAGACCGCGTCCTCCGTAGACCTGTTTGCTCGGTACGCAAACTGGTGGCTGTCCAGGTCTGCTGGGAGGACGTCCTTGATGTGTGATAGTATCATCCTCCCGAAGCACTTCGTGATGACTGGGGTCAGGGCAACTGGGCGGTAGTCGTTGAGGCAGGTGACTGCGGTCTTTTTTGGGACAGGGACAATGGTGGTGGCTTTGAGGCAGGTGGGGACTGCAGCTTGTCGCAGGGAGAGGTTGAAGATGTTAGTGAAAACCTCTGCTAGCTGGTCGGCACAGGTCTTCAGTGTGCGGCCCGACACTTTGTCCGGTCCCGCTGCCTTGGTGATGTCGATCCTCCTCAGAGCGGACCTCACCTAGTGGTGCTGGAGGAAGAGTGTCTGCTCCTCCTTGGGCTGGGTCTTCTCAGCTGTTGCTCTGCTGTACTGTCTATCAAAGCAGGCAAAGAAGCGGTTCAGGGTGTCGGGAGTTCACTGTCCTGACTGATCTGTGTGGTGCTGCTCTTGTAGTCAGTCAGGGTTTTAATACCTCTCCACATGCTCCGGGGGTCGTTGTTCTCGAAGTGTCCCTCAATGCGCTGTTTGTATCTGCGCTTGGCCTCTTTGATTCCCTTCTTCAGGTCCCTCCAGGCACTTTTATAGGCCGGTCTGTCACCAGACCTGAAGGCAGCGTCTTTTGCTCCAAGCAGTAACCGCACGTTTCTGTCTATTT